TTATGTTGATTGATTAGCCAACTGTAACGGATGTTACATATTTTCCTTTTCTCATACTTCTTCTACTCCTAGTTAATTAAATTAGGTGTGGTTCTTGTTGTGTAATTATATTAATATGTCTCAGCTGGTCGTCGGTTAATAACCCTCTTCTGGCCTCAAGAATAATGGCAAAGGGATAAACAATAACTTAATAATCTTTATTAACTTTGAAATTGGTTCTCGATCTCTTTTGCGTATGCTTCAATATGAAGTGTTCTGGATCCGCCCCCAAAACTTGGACGTAGTTGGACGTACATGAATCGACCAAAATTTGGACGTAGCTTCTCGTTGATTCGATGTGGGAATGGAACTGGCCTCCTAGGTGGATTTGAACGGACCGGCAACGGAATAGACGTGCTGTTATTGATCAACCCTCCGACCAATAACGCGGCTCTCCCCCTACTAAGGTTACGCCGGAATTTTCCCTGAACAAGTATAAATAGGGACCCCAAAACCACAAGATTCATTCTGAGATTCCGGTGTTGAGTTCTCCCACGTTGCTACGTGAGCGAAGCCCTCGCCTTAACGCAGAATCCATCGTCGCCGCCAATCGTTGAGTTCTCCCACGTTCCTACGTTAGGACGTGAGCGAAGCCTTCGCCATCGCCTACAAGCCAACACCACGTGTCTAGCGTTAAGTTCTCCCACGTTGCTACGTGAGCGAAGCCCTCGCTAACGGACTTAGTGTTTGTGTATGTATATACTATATATTCGACCATTGTACATATTGCGTTCCTGTTATTGACTTGTATATTTTGTTGTCTTTTTTTTGTGTTGTATTATATTATTTGCTCTGTAAACATTATTCAGTGCAAGTGTGTGTGAGTGTAAGTTCCCCGTGTCCGTGCGCGCGTGCGTCCGGGTAACAGTGCTGTGTTCCATTGTGGAGATTCTCGAGTATTTCGTTCTGGGTCTCGGCGTAATTTCGTTCTTCTAAGTATCGCCACGAAGACGATTCACTTGACAACATACGGCTCGACTCCACAAGACAAATGTTGCAGATTCGGAGTCTGAGGTTGTCCGTGGAATCCCTTAACTTTCGAACACCAATTCACTTATATTTATACCCCTTCTCTTA